AAGAAAAAAAAATTTACCTCTTTTGATGATTATGTAAGATCTACTCGCTATATTGATATCAAATAAACTAAGGAATCATACATGACCTTCGTGGGGATATGAACATTTATTTATCTATATTTTTTCTTGATATCATTTAAAATTATTGTATTTTATTTGTAGTGTATCCTAAAAGTAAAGTTATTTCTAATATATTTTGAAATTCTTAAACTATTTAAGTTCAACAAAAAATTTAATATTAAAAATATGGGTTACAATATGTATCAATTAGTATTCTTGAAAAATAATAGCAATCACTTGATATTTCAAAACAATCATATATTTTAATTTTTATAATACATATAAGATTTTTCTTTTAAATAAGTATCATAAAAAAAAATATAATTCTATTTTTTTTCTTTATGTAAGAAAAAATTATTGATCGTGTAGTTATTATGAAAGTTTTTTTTTTTTTTTTTTTTCTGAATAATAGATAAAAAATAGCAGGGATTATTTTATTTTTTTTAAAAGAGCAGAAACTGAAAATAATTTTTGATTTGATATTCTAATATTTTTAAAAAACGAAAAAGAAAGTGAAATATTTTTTGGAAACGATTTTATTTTTTGTATTAATTTTTTTTTTGGATTAAAAAACGAAAAAGAAAGTGAAATATTTTGATTTTTCAACTTTTTTCTGAATAATGGATAAAAAATAGCAGGGATTAATTTTTTTTAAAAAAAGTGCAGAAACTGAAAATAATTTTTCATTTGATATTGTAGAATTTTTAAAAAACGGATAAGAAAGTGAAATATTTTTGGAAACGATTTTTCAACTTTTTTTGGTTTTTTCATTTTTCAATTTTTTTTTGGATTTTTTTCATTTTTCATTTTTTTTTGGGTTTTTTCATTTTAAAATTTTTTTGGGTTTTTTCATTTTTCAAATTTGTTTGGTTTTTTCAATTTCAGAAAAAAAAAAGTCCTAGTTAACTAGTAGAATTCCCCTCGACACGCTCAACCCCAATATGGAGTAGACTACACAAAACCTGAGTCGCACTCTGAAATTGATCATCAGACCTAAATTCACTACTCTCACTCCCATCAGACGAGGGACTCGACAACCCAAAAGACGAGGAACTCGACGAAGACGAAGACGAAGGTGAATGAAACTTAGGGATGGGCACAGCCGTTGATGGAGGAGAATTTAGAAAACACGGCCCAGCCCAAAATTCCTTTTCTACCCTCAACCTGTATCTTCCCGAGTTCCAAGGACGACGACCACCACTCCTATTACTACCCGAACCAGCCACACTCCCCATTCACAACACACGAGAAAACCAAACAAGAACGAAACTAATATAGAACGTGAAAGAAACTGTAAAGAGAACTTACCGGAAAATCGGAAATTAACTTCGGGCGCACGATCAACTGGATGTTTGTTGCGTATTTGTTGTTGTTGTTGAGACTAATTTATATTTGTCTGATATATTCTGTCTCCTAAGTCCTATGTTAATAAGGCATAGGAGTTGAAAAGGAGCGGACAAGCTCGGTACGTAAAACCGATTAGGGATTAATCAAATTATAATTATAAATAAATGGGTAGACTTTGATGACTGTAGGAATAGGAATAGGAATAGGAACGAGTTAAACCAAAAGAACCATCGGCGCGCGTCTAGGATACGTTTGTGGAGTACAGAAAGCTCATTTAATTGGGCCGCGCCCACGATATTCATTTAATTGGGCCGGGCCCACGAGATTAATCCATAATTTTTTTTCAAACGATGATAAATAATACTGTACGAATCTCGTATAATGCACAAGTAGGAGATCTTAATTAATTCATAATAAACATTTAATTATTATATATTTTAACATCTAAGTGAATAATAAGTATAATTCGATAAAAAAAGTGAATAATAAGTGTAATTATAAAACTTATAGTGTTTCATTAATTAAAAAAAAATTATTTTTACATCAACTATCCAAATAATATTTGAAGTAGTTGAATAATTTATTAAATTATAAATAATTGACTATGCTATTCACTTCCACTTTAATATTGATTCGTAAATTATGAATAATTACTTACTTGACTTTTAAATTTAGAACCCAAATTTGGACTACACAATAAATACCATTATATATATATATATATTCTCTCTCACAATTTCCTAGATTTGTTGTTGATTATCTTATTATTCAAATTTATCAACTAACTCTCCATAATTAAATTACAAAATTTTTAATTTCATTAACCAATATTTGTTCTAAGATCTTTTTTATTTTCAATATGATTATATGCCAATTTGCCGAAATATCATCACTATCCTATGTCAAGTTATTATGGAATATGATAAAATTTGTTAATCGTATAACCTTTATTTTATAACAAATTAACCTAAAATTAAACTTTAATACTCATACCAAATAAAATTTATACCACTTATTTTGTTTTCAAAATTTTCAAATACACTTCTATGTAAATAAAATTCATATCATTTAATTTTGAAAATTTTATACCAAAATAAAATCGCTCACTTTATACCATAAATTTGAACATTTATTAATAACACACATTTCATAGAAAAAAATAAAAATGGCCCAGAAACTCAAATAAAATCGTCCACTTTATACCAAAACTAGTACAGTATCCGTGCGATGCACGGGGGGTTTATTATCTCCGTCCTTTTTAAAAAGCAATTTCAAGTTAAAATTCAAAGTACTTACTAAAGAAAAGATCATGTCATTAATAATTAATAAATTAATAAATATAATGAAAATAAAATCTATATATTATTGAACATTGCCTTATATACAAGGTTCATGGTTTGATTCTTTGACACGTCATTGTCGCCACGAATTAGGATTTTCAAACCATTTATGTTTGCGACACGAGAGAAACAACATACAACTGGCCCCAAACCGTGCAGTTCTTTATGTTTCCCCTACACAATGTCCAAGAGGTTTTTAAAGGGCATATTATGAGTTGCGAAAATAACTTTTAAACATTGATATTTTATTTATTTTTTACGATATTACATGCGTAAAACATTAAAATCGAAATATGATAGAAAAAAAATCATATAAAACATTAGAATATAAAATATGAATATATAATGCTAAAGATTCTTACTCCAAATCCATAATAGAGAATACAACCATTTGGGTAGGAACTCCCTCGACAACCTTCATTTGAATAGGTTGTAATGAAACAACCAATCCAATAACATCTACAAAAATATAAGACAATGCATTATATTGAAATGTATAATGTATAATATAGTTTAGTAAAGATTTTAACTTTAAAAAAAAATCGAAATAAGAAATAAACAAAAAATTATAACATACCAAACAACATGGTTTCATCAACATTATGAACATCCATTAAAGTTAGAAAGTTCCTAAAGTCAAAACGATATATAGGAAATTCACCCCTCCATTTGAGAATGTTGGTTTGGTCATTGATAATGATTCTCCAATTACCTATCGTCCATTTATAGATGCCAATATTATTTGATATCGATGATTACTCCAAAATCCAAAAGAAATCCCAAAGATTATCAGTAAGTCAACAATAATTTTTTTAAGTCAAAGTTACTATTTTTGTATTTTTTCAACAACCTCTTTATATTACTATAGATTGGTTTTATTAATTTTTTTAACTTTATATCATGAATTGATTAATTAATTTTTTGAGGCGGATTTTTTTGAAAATTTTCAAATTTTTTTTATCAAGTTTAGTAATTCTGAAAATTTTAGGCGGATTTTTAGTTTACTTTNGTAGCTCGAAATCTTACGTGTTATAATTTTGAGGCTCGAAGGAATTTAGCTTCATTTTCCATATCAAATGCTTAGTGGATACACAATATAGTTAACTAATTTTTATATTAATTTTTAATAAATGAGAATCAGTCTTAGTTAAATCTATTCATTTTTCGTTCTCATTTCTTTGATATATTAATTAGTTATTGTAAATGTGTTTCGTCATCATATTTCAAAAAATTGATAACTTTTTGCATTTTTGTGTATAATAAATCTAATTATAAAAATGAAATTTGTTTATTTATCATTGACGTACACATATATAATTAAAATTTGTCTATTGATTATTCTTATATATTTTGTTATTGTATACACCTAATTCTTTGAAAAATACTATAGGTACATAATCATATACATAGATGTGTACATATACACATTTGTATTCCGTACAGCTGGAGAAAGGGACGACCTCGGATTGCACTGTCGGGATTACAGTGGTCTTCCTTTTTCTCTCCACCCGGCGGTCTGTACTCCAGTCTCCTGGCCAATTTCCTCGTCCGTTTTGTTTAGAAACCAAACGTTGTCACCAATTCTATTTTATGTTTTCACCAACTCATTTTTAATATATGCTAATAAAGTTTTTATTACTATTTTTTTTAATAATTAATAATGATGATATTTTTCTGTCACTAATTATGTTATTATTTTTGTGACAACAATAAGCTAACACTAAATATTTGTTGTATTATTAATGATGACTTCATAAATTGTCACTATTACAAATGACATTAGCGACGATTCTTATTTCTTTACGATGATGTGCGCTAAAAAAAACAATTAGTGACAAAGAATAGTGTCAAAAAATAAACTTGTCACTAATAACTATTTGTTCAATAGTTTTATGACATTAAAAAATATTGTCATTATACATGTGGTTATAGTTATGACATTAATGTCGTCACTAAAATTATTGCCACTAATAATGATTATTCTTGTAGTGAAATTGTCAAACACAACGAAATTTTTGCATATTTGTTTTCCTATTTTTTATGTTTTATTTTATTTTGAATAAAAGGGTGAACAATGAAAATTTGGCTCATGAGATGGGAAAAGGCAAATGAAAAAGGGGTGTATCATGGTTAGTATTAATAGTTAGTATTTATGTAAATATTTATGTTTGGTTAGTTATATGTACAAATAAGTTTTTCATTTAGCATTTTGCAATTATTTAGCAATCAGTTAAGTATATACGTAAATTGGCCAAGTTTATTTAGAAGATAAGAAAAGAAAGAAAAAAAAAATCTCTTGAAAGTACCATTTTCTTTCTCTCTAAGATATTTTAATTCTCTAGTATGACTAAAAAATTGTGTTTCTATATCAAACATAAATTATTAATAATTATCAAATAATCATTAACCCCAAAAATTCACATAAAATATACACTCTCAACTTCATATCATAAACCCTCAAATTCACCCCAAAATTCATGTCCAAACCCTAGAAATCTCCCAAGCCAGATCCTCCAACTTTGACGTCGTCCCCCTCACCGGCCAAGCCAAGCTGCACCAGCACCTGTAATCACCTATGACACCCATGACTCAGAATGTCTCTAGTTTCTTGTGATGACAGCAACGGCATATCAGGACATCGACGGCTTCTATGTGGAGTCGACAAGTGGTGACAACAGACCGGGCCACAGGGTCACAACCCATACAATCGCGGCGGAGACTGAAAGTCTGGGCACATATCAACAACGTACGGTGAAGCAAGGGCTTCGATCTGGCAGTCGCAGATGGCGAAGCTCGACCTCTTTTCTGATTCGACCTGCTGGCGATGGTTCTAGTTACCTTGTGCTCGGCCCGAAAGCTCCTTGATTGATCGTGACGTGGACGGTGATCGTCATCTTGTGCGGCTATGGCGTCCTACTTAAGGGCAACATGGGCGGCGCCGATGGCTGGTGTCGCGGAGGAAATTTGAGGTCTCGATGAGGTGGGTGTGAGGTGGCGAGGGCTGGTGTGTCGAAGGAGATTTAGGATTTCGATGAGGTGGGTGTGAGGTGGCATATGGGGGTAGAAATTGAGATGGAGACGACGTGACACGGGTCTTCGAAACAATGCTAAGAAAGTGTGACAGATGGAAAGTGTCAAACACAGCGAGATTTTTGCAGATTTATTTTTATTTTTCTTTTCTTATTTTTTTTATTTTTTTTAAAAAAAATGAACAATGAAAATTTAGCTCAGGATATGGAAAAATACAGATGGCAAAGGGGTGTATGAATGATGGGTAGTATTTAATAGTAAGTATTTATCAATATATTTTTGTTTGGTTAGGTATGTACAAATAAGTTTTTCATTTAGTATTTTTGCAATTATTTAGCAATCATTTAAGTATATGTGGTTTATTTGGAAGATAA